ATGCCAGGACCACCACCTCTTGGACCACCGCCTGCTCCACCTTTAAGGCCACCGGGACCACCTACAGGCCTTCCTCCTGGACCACCACCAGGTAAGCACTTAGAATACTGTGGATACATACCAAATACATCGTCTAGTCAAATGAGGTTAGAAAAGTGAGGTCGTTCCAGAACATGTGTCATACATTGTAATGTCTTTTGTTTTCTCCTAGTGTAATTCCAGAAGAAATAGCAATATCAAAAGAAGTGAAGCGTTCAATTTTCTGCTTATAAAAAAATTCTTCAGTTCTGATTAAAGCAGGCAGAAACTTGAGCAAATAAGACTTTCTTTAGTACTACTATTTAGTTTGGTGGCATACTGTATTAACTATATTTCTAATACACTATTTAAGATCAGTTGACCAAGTTCTCAGTTGGTATCAGATGAGAGTAGGGCACAGATAAATTCTGTCTCATGCTCTCTTTAGTGTAATCTTTAAAGTTAGAAACAAGGTGATTGGTAACTTAGCATTTCTTCTGCTTAAATATTAAAACTTATTTGCCATTTAAAACATGTAGGTGATTTGGGGGGCTATTTATAACTTTAGTCCATCCTACAGTGAGTCATTTTCTGATCGGTGCACTGCAAGTTACCTCTCCTGCTATTATGATCAGTGGTCCTTATCTGTAGCTTAATGACTTTCAAGGTATCTGTAAAGCATACCCTGCTTTATTCCAGTAACAGTTTATAGAAGTCATTTAAGAATTTTCATCCTTGTGTATTTTCAAAGAAGTCAAGATGTGATTAAACATGCTTTTTGTCAGTGCTGGTAAAAGAAATAATTCATAACACATTCATTACTCTGTCTCTGGTGGGAGATTATTTGTTGATTGAAGTCTTCCATAAATATTTTGATCTGTATTTGAAGTTGGTCGTTTCAGGTTAAAGAGAGAACTCAAGCTGTAGTTTAAGTTACCTTTATGCCATAATTATTTATTCTATTTGTTTGACATTAATGTACCTTTTTTTAATCCTTCAGGGGCTCCTCCATTCCTGAGACCACCTGGAATGCCAGGACTTCGAGGGCCTTTACCCCGACTTTTGCCTCCAGGACCACCCCCTGGGCGCCCTCCTGGCCCCCCGCCAGGCCCTCCTCCAGGTCTGCCTCCTGGCCCCCCTCCTCGAGGTCCTCCACCAAGGCTGCCTCCCCTTGCACCTCCAGGTAAACCTTTTGAACTCCATAACAGAGTCTTATCTCCTAGTTATTTGAGATAAACCTAACAGTTCAATAGCAAGGCTTGTCCTACAATAGAAATTGTTGGGTTTTCTGTAATCATTTTCCTGAATTAAAGTCAAGTTCTTCCAGAGAGTATTTGCCTTTCATTCAGCTTGTCCTTTTGGGACTTTTGCAGCCAAGAACCACTTTAGATTAAATTATCTTATAAAGAATTTGTAATTATAAATTTGTCCCATATCTGCATGCGGTTCTTAGGTACAAGAGTTCATAGGTACCAGAGAGACTTTTTTCCCTCCCCTTCTCCCCAGTGCCAGGTAGTCATGCAAGTCTCCGTCTTTTCTATGTGACATGCATACTTCTGATTTAGTCCATAAAGTGCCTCAATCTGTTGTGAGGGGCTTCTTTTAAAGTTTCCCAACTTCAACAGTCGTGTGTGGTATGATTTGATGAAGTAGGGTACTTTATACAGTCTTAAAAGTGGCATATGAGTAGAGTTTAAAAGAGCATTTGGTAGTTAGTACTAGTATACTTGAACCCCATCAGTAAGGCATCCATTCATTCTATTAATGGTGATGGTTTGTGATTAGTTGTGTTCACCTATTTCCTATCATCTGTGCCTTTAATGACCGACCAGGGTTGAAGTTAGACTTTCTGCCCATTGAATGCTTTGGGGGAAGGAATCCGGGAGAGGTAAGATGGAGACCAACTTCTTAAACTTGGCCTTAACATCGGTACTGTGTCACCAGAATAGAATCCATGGACTACTTGAAACCAGTTAGTGTCAATTTTATTTTCTTATAGAAGGAAGAAAAACAGATGGCTACTGTAAGTAATCCAGATTAGATTATAATACAGTTATGCTAGCTACAGACTGAAGGCGAATTTTGTTTTATAGAAATGTGTTCCTTAATATATGCCACAATTCCAAGGCAAGCAGAATAAATTTAGCTTATTTTCTGTAAATCAGTGTCCATTTAAAATACATACATACCCAGTGGAGAGGTCTGAGGGTCCAGCCCCAATCCCAACTACTACGTGGACACTTGCCCCTCCCCCGAGAAGAATTTATTTCAAAGGACCGCAATGAATCTGGTGCTCCGGGAGAGGGACATACCTGATCGGAGAACAAGGGAGCTGATGAAGGGGGAGGAGGAGAGAGTGGAGCACATCCTGGCCCACAGGCTGTGAGGACGATGTTCCCAATTAGAGCAGCCAGCCCACAGAGAGGATCACATGGCCAGCCCCACTATGAGACATGATACCCCTCACTGACCCATGGCCCTGTGGGGGACAGTACCAAAGACATAGTGTGGGATTTGCACCTGTTCTGATTCTGTTACACCGAGGCAAAGCACTAGGGGAGTGGCCAGCCCCACTGTGAGACATCCCTCACTGACCCATAGCCCTACAGGGGACAGCACCGGAGACACAGTGTGGAAATTGCACCCATCTGATCCCGCCACACCGAGGCAAAGCACTAATGGTACAACAGAACAAGGGAACGGAGCGGTGAAGTCCCCGGGGAATGCTGAAGGTGGACTTAGGGGCCAGGTGTCCCAACAAACTGGACTGGAAAACACTCGTAAAGGCCAACAAACAGTCCTTGAACTAACAAACATAAATAGATGCGTACATATATATATAAACTTATGTTTTTAATATCTTTAATGTTTCTGTCGCGTCAAGTCTAGCTCAAGGTGACTTCCTGTGTGTCAGTAGACCTGTGGTCCGTCCAGGTTTTCAGTGGCTGAGTTCATGGAATTACCTCTCCAGGCCTTCTGACGTGCCTCTGATCATTTAGCCTTTCAGCTAAGCGCTAAGCATGTTCACCATAACACCACTCAGGGACTCCGTAGATTTTTGTGGTGTTTATTCTACCTGTTTTCTTCACTCTTTAGGTATCCCTCCACCTCGTCCTGGCATGATGCGCCCGCCTTTGGTGCCTCCACTTGGACCTGCCCCACCTGGGCTTTTCCCACCGGCTCCTTTACCAAACCCTGGGGTTTTGAGTGCCCCACCCAACTTGATTCAGCGGCCCAAGGCGGATGATACAAGTGCAGCCACCATTGAGAAGAAAGCGACCGCAACCATCAGTGCCAAGCCACAGATCACCAATCCCAAAGCAGAGATCACTCGATTTGTGCCCACTGCGCTGAGGGTCCGTCGGGAGAACAAAGGGGCTACTGCCGCTCCCCAAAGGAAGTCGGAAGATGATTCTGCTGCACCTCTTGCCAAAGCAGCCCCCAAATCCGGTCCTTCTGTTCCCGTTTCCGTACAAACTAAGGATGATGTCTATGAAGCTTTCATGAAAGAGATGGAAGGGCTACTGTGACGGCTTTAGCTGCCAGAACTGGCATCTGAAGCTGTCTGAGTTATTTTTAATATTTTCTTGTAAATATTTTATAATATTTTGCCTGTAGTGAAATGGATCCAATGTCATTTCCTATTACAAAGCAGGATTGTGGGAAGAAAATGTACAAATCTTTGATTAAAATTATTTCCTGCTCATCTCAACGTTGAGTGTTTCCTGGGGGGGCGGCGGAAATGTTCCACACCAAGATATCCTCTGTTACTGATAATGTGTAAACCTGATACCTGCTTTATGGGCAGCAAGCTGCATACACTCCAGTCTATAGAGCTGCCATTCTGGTTCAGAATGAGAGTCAAAATGAAAATGTGGTAGACACAATAAGTTTTTTAAGAAATACTACAGAAGTCATTTTCTGTCAGTACTATCACACTGGCCTTGGAGTTAGAGGAGTGACGCAGATTTTTATTTCATCTTTTATTACTTTTAAGGTATTAGAGCTTATCCTAAAGATTATTTATGTCCCCCAGAGCATTTTGAGTTGATAGTAGTTGACCAAGGCTTTGAAGCCAGGAGGCAGACTGAATACAGGTAGGTCCCCATTTTTTTCTACTGGGAATGTTTAACACTACTAAGCACTACTGAGTGCTATCTACTGAAGTAATCCTGGGAAGTAATTTTCCAAAGTATTTCCCCATTTCACAGTTGAAAGCATTAAATACTGGAGGCCTTGATATATCCAGTGGTACAAAGTATATATTTCATTTGCACATGCATACACATAAAAGTATTGTGTTTAAGCAAGCTGCATGCATACATTCTTAAGATTAAGAATCTTAAGCTACCTTTACCATGGGACACTCATACTATCAAAAACTGGTGAGCAGTTTCCTAAAAAGATCACTGCAATTTCCATATAGCTTGTTTTTTATGTTTAGTCTTTTTTTCTTTCTGTCTAGTGTGTGTGTCATTCTCTGGAAGTTATCTCACAGATTAGTAAATCCTGCCAGTGAACCTTACCATTAAGTCTACCAGTAAGTTGTTTACAAGCAAGGGAAAAATTATCACATCTAATCAATGTTAATTATAACAATTGAATTATTCTCCAGTACTTGGTCTGTAATTTTAATGTTACTGCTTGAAATTTACATTCTATTTGGGGAGCTGTCACTTATGTAGAGAAGCCATTGACAGTTTATGAAAAACATTTCCAAACTGCTAATTTTCTGAGAATTCATGGTAAAATATGGCATTTGGTTTATGGTTTCTCATCTGCAGGAAAAGAATCTAGTTCTGATTCTGGATAGGCATGTGTTGTGATTATCATTTTTATCCATAACTTCATGGAATATGTGCTCTAATCTGATCACCGCTGTGAAATGTAAGTACCATTTTGAACGTGATGTTCTCTTCTTGGTGTGTAAGCCACTACGCAATGTGAATAAAACAAAATGTGAGTGTGAGACTTCCACTAATACTCTTCCAGGGCATGGAATCAGCATAAGGGCCCTAATGACAGCCAAAGGTCTTTGAAACTAAGCTGTCTCAATGCTCGTATCTCATGATGTGCTCTTATATATGTGGCTTTACTGGGTGGTGCAAACAATTCAGCACTTTACTATTAACCAAATGTTTGGCCGTGTAAGACTCCCCCAGGAGAGAAGGTTGGCATTCTGAAGGATGGCAGCCATTGAAACCCTGTGGAACACTGCTCTGGCATATGGTCACCATAAGCTGTGGGATCATTTTGATGGCACCTGGTTTGGGTTTTTAAATCACACTGCATTCAAGTATTTCTTAAGACCACAATCACCACCTAATAACAGCTGCCCACCTGGTCTCTACCCTCACAGGAACATGTCGAATACCAGAAATTTTACCTGGGTTGAGGCAACAAGCCTTATTAAAGAACTCGGACTCAAAGCTGAAATTTAGCTTAACTACAGATAATTCATAACCTGTGTAGGTCTAGGAGGTCAAGAAAGTTACACATGTGAGCTGTGGGGAGCTGGCACATGCAGGAGACCAAAATACGTCCTCCCTAAGGGAAAAAAACGTTTGTTAGGAAAACCCCTTCTCCCAGTCTGTTTGCTCTCCAGTCTACAGCAGAATGAGGACACCCCCCTAGAGAGGAGAACTGGAATGCAGACTAATTCTTCCACCAGGCCAATGTTGGGGTTCAGAAATTGGAGCACCCTAGATACAGACTGATGGGTTGCCGCAGCCAAAGCTGGTCCACAATAGCCAAGCAGAAGGCATGCAGTCCTGAGTGTTCGTAAGCCGCTACTGCTGGCAATGGTCAGAGAGAGTGGACCCTCCTGAAAAGAGGAGGCCTCGTGCGTTTTCTAGTTGGGAAGGCCACAGGCAGGGTCATCAGGACAAGTCAAGGATGTGAGGTCACAGGAGGGCTGTACATTCTGGGCATTCAAACTAGGAAGTAGGCTACACTGCCCCTAGAGCCAGCAGGCAATCCCCTTTCCTCCTGCACTGCCTCTCCAGTGCCCTCTACTGGGAGTATTCACAGCCTGGTTATTGTTCCTGGGAAATGCCTACAGGAAGTCCATCTGTGAGCATTATTACTTAGGGAGCAAGTCGTGTACTTTGATTTTGGAGGTTAGAGGCCATGCGTTCATAACTGGCATGTCTAAGCACATGGAAAATCCAGTCCTTTCTACTTGCTCTACCACAGCCTCTATAAAATGACTAGCACAAAATCCTCGGATCAAAGAAAATATTTCTCACCCCCTTCTATCAAGTAGTTAAGCACTGCTAGCTTAAATATGCTAACTAATGATAAGCAAAATCTTTATAGGTCCCCTTTGTTCTTCAAAAAGTCTCCAGTGAAACCCCACTCCCACCCTTAGCTCACAGGCTCAGATAACCGAAGTAAACCCACTGCCATGGAGCCGCTGCCAACTCATAATGCTAGGACAGGGTAGAACTGGCCCCATGAGTTTCTGAGACTAAATGTTTATGGAAGTAGAAAGCTCCATCTTTCTCCCCAGGAGCAGCTGGTGGTTTTGAATTGCTGACTTTGCAGTTAGCAACCCAACGCATAACTGCTATACCACCAGGCTAATAAAGCTAAGAATTCTGAAAAGCAACCACCACCACCACAAAATTAGTCTTTGAGAAATTCGGACAGACTGGTACCCACCAATTGCCATCCAATTGGTTCCAATTCATAAGCTGTAGAATAGAGTACAAATTCCCCTTTGGGTTTTTGAGTCTATACATCTTTTTTTTTTTTTTAATAATGAAACTTAATTAGCATTGTTTTGAGGGAAATAAACTGCTTTACTGGGTATAAAACTAATTTCACATTTTATTTTACAATTGTGCTATTAACAGTCATGTTATATTGTGCCCCCATAGCCTTCTATAGTTTGTCGCCAATTTAATTTTGTCTATACATCTTTACAGGAGCAGAAATCCTCATCTTTCTCCCTCAGAGTAGCTGGTGGATTTGAACTGCCGACCTTGCAGTTACTAGCCAACGTGTAATCCACTATGCTACCAGGCCTCCATGAGACAGTGGTACTCATCAATATACGAGGGATACAAAAACAAACAAACAAACCGGAATTGGGCTCGGTGGAGCAGAGCTTTCATAGTACGCATTTTTCCACTAGGTCAGCATCAAGCAACTCACTCTGAGTTAGTGCACCCAGTGACGTCACCTGGGAAGGTTCCTTCTGGCCACAGTGAATTCTTCATAAAAGTTTTGCTCAAATCTCGTTTTTTGGGATGGCCAATTTCAGAGAATGGTGTGTGGTATGAAATTTTGTTTCCTGCTCGGGACAAGTACTACAGAAACGGTTGTGATGTTGAAAATAGCTTACAAGGACAGCACTATGGGAAAAACTCAAGTGTAAGAGTAGTTTTCTCATTTCAAAAAAGGTAAAATGTCGATTGATGACAAACCTTTTTCTGGGCATCTGTCAACTTCCTGAATGGATGAAAATGTCAACAAGTAGTGTATTTGGAGTTCTTTCCACCAGGTCAGACTGTTAATCAAACTTTTTATTTAGAGGTTCTGAAAAGATTGCATAACAGTGTGCCACAAAAAAGGCCTGATTTGTAGCAGACGGGGCTGGTTTTGCCATCATGGCAATGCACCCACTCACACAGCCATCTCAGTACACCAGTTTTTCACCAAAAAACAGCATGCCTCTCTTGCCCCAAACACCTTACTCACCTAACCTCACTCCACGTGACTTTTTTGTTTCCAAGAATGCAGAGGGACATGAAAGGACAGTGATTTGAGGAATAGAAAAGGTGAAGAAAAAGAGGGAGGTGCTGTCAGCCATCCAAACAGATGAGTTTGAAAAATGATTCCAAGACTGGAATTGCAGATTTGACAAATGCATTAAGTGTAATGGAGAGTACTTTGAAGGTAGTGGGTTGTTTTGTTAAAAAAACAAACATAGCTTTGAAAAAAAGTTCGTTTTATTGGGTGCTGCCTCGTATTCCTACTGTTGTGTTTTTTTTTCATTGCAGGTAAGTTAGGCATAAGGCTTGTGCTAGTCTGGGAATGAAGCAAGGAAATATGAGATCACAACTTTTCTCTTGGGAAAAAGAATAAAATGGGGAGGTGCCTGAATTACACTTGGGAATGACAGTCTCTTCTCAGCCATGCATGCATGCTGGGGCCTCTCTGGTCTTTGGCTTTTCAGCCACACAGCCCCTTGGCTTCTGCTCTGAACACACAATATTACAAAGCTTTTAATAAGGCTGCAAATAAATCCCCAAAGGGCAAACAACTCTGCTATAAGCCTCTCCAAAGGCATTCCGCTCAATCTCCCTGGGTCAGCAAACCTACTTCCAATGAAGGTCCTAGAGAGCCCCCACTCTACAAGCAAGCCTCCTGCCCAAAGGCACTCAGCTTCATGCACTCTGGGCCAGGAAACCCACCTCTGCTTCATGCTCTGCCTCTGGGTTCCGTTGCTGCCACTGTCTGTCCCTTCTCTGGTGTCAGCTTTCTGTCCTCGTGTCACAGTTTCAATGCACTGGGATCTTGTGATCCAAATGACAAGCTCCATTCCTGACTGCTCTCTAGCTAGTAATAAACATTCCTCCTCCTCCTGAGACAGCTCATTTTATACTCACATGGATGGAAAAATGGCATTCCCCACCTTAAGAGTTCTAGTCCCTTACAATCACAATTAACCTTGTTAATAATCCCTCACGAGTGAATTACATAATC